GTTGCACATATAGATTTGAGGTGACTGTTGGACGAGAAGGTAGAACCTCAAAGTGAACAAGACCACGGGAATTCCACCAAACAGATAACATAGCCTTTCTTCCATGCGGATTACGTTGTGGCGTCGTTTTTGGCTGTTCTCCTGGACTGAACCACTGCCGCTTTCGCGATGGGTTGGCGTAGAAAATCCATTTTTCATCGGCCGTCACAATAGTGTCCCAAAAACCTCGATTTTTTGATTGACGAAGAAGAATACCGGCCATAGTCACTCGAGTAGCTTTATTAGCGTCACTAAGTTGATGGGATAGCCATTTTCCGACGATATTCGCTTTACCCAAACGATGTAAATGGTCCCCAATGGTTGTGTGGCCTACAGCAAACATCGTTGCAAGTTCCCGAGTCGACAAGGTTGGACTATCTTCTATGGCTTCTCGAAGATCATCATCGTTGAGCGCTGGAGGGGGTGACCACGTCCTCGATCCTGTAGAGTTTCGTCTCCTTCTCTAAATTGTTGAAACCATTTTTTACAAGCTTCTTCTGAATAAGCAGCTTCTCCAAAAACTTTAAAGATTAAACTATGGCTCGCCAGGACACTTTTTCCTTGTTCGAAGTCGTAGAGCAAGAATTTGCTCATTCGAAACACCCGAATTTGGTACTTCTGATCTCCCATTCTAAAAAAAGCCAAAATTGACTGCCAAAATAAGGCAGTAAATTTTTAGAAAAACATAGAATTAGAAAAGATATATGACTTTTAAAACAAAACAAAAATTAGACGTGAAGCTGTTCGCGGCACCGAAAAAATTTCAATCGAAGTTGATGGTATTTTCATTCCGGACTAGAGTGTGTTCCTTGCAGACAATGCGTTTTCTAAAAAGCGCGCGCCAAGGATGGGCTACCGTAACCCTATGCTTTGCATCAGCAAATTTTTCAAAATGCAAATGTACATTAAAATCTTGCGCTCTATTTTTCTATTACTCTTTCCTTAACTCTATTACTCTTTCGCTAAAACTTAAAAATTTCTAAATGCTATTTAAAATTAAAGAAAACATTTAAAACGGAAAAGGTTAAGAAACACTATTAAAAAATTATATTATTTACGAATTTACCAGGCCTATTGTCTACATTTGCACTAGAAACATTCCAAAAAAAATTCCACGCCCTAAAAAACCTAAATCCTTAAATAAAACTATCCATTACTAGATTTTAAGAAAAAGTTTGCAAATTTTTTCGCACGACTTTGAATTGGAGAAAAGCGGCTCGAGTCTTCAAGTCCATTGTCGAAGAAGCGCAGAAGCTGGATGCTGATAAGGATACCGTTTCGATCACCTCATTCTCGTTGGATCCAGAGTCGATCGTTCAAACGAGCCATTCTGGAGACAGCCCTTCATAGCTTTGCCTAAAAAGCGCACCTTTTAGAAAACGCGTTGTCGGAAGTTTGTCGGATCAATTGTCTGACAAAAAAGTTGTCAATGAAAATTTGTCTGACAAATTGTCTGTCAACAAGGAGCACACTCTATTCCGGACACCCTAATAATTCTTAAAACAAAAACAAATCCATTTTCTAAAATCTATTTCTTTTTTTTTGAACTAAAAGCACTTTTAAATCCATAATTTCATTGAAACGATCAAATTGAAAGGCACATTTTCATTCAATCTACTTCTATTCACGGGAAAACTCATCGTTTCAGCGCTTTATTGTGTCGAAAACAGATTCGAACAGAGTCGAATTGAGGATTTCAGTTAGATCACAAAAATGAAGCCCATATCAATTCTGCGTCGTCTCAAAGCTTATGGCTTTAAGTTTTGGCTTCTCAAAACGAAAGCCTTAAAAATATTTCTGTTATTTCTGGTATTCTTTCTAATCTTTTTCTATGCTAATCAAGTTTATTTTAACGAAAAGCGACAAAACGTTGAGGTGATTTGGGATTTTTTTATGAAAAGGTCTAAAAATTTAACCTTTAAACCTTAACTTTAACCTTAACTTTAACCTTAACTTTAACCTTACCTTTAGCCTTAACTTTAACCTTAACTTTAGCCTTAACTTTAACCTTAACTTTAGCCTTAACTTTAACCTTAACTTTAACCTTAACTTTAGCCTTAACTTTAACCTTAACTTTAACCTTAACTTTAGCCTTAACTTTAGCCTTAACTTTAACCTTAACTTTAGCTACTTAAACAGTAGCTAAATTTAAAGAACAGTGCGATCTGACTAGACTTTGTCCCTTGGCCCCCTTTGTCTGACTTTGTCCCTAGATTTCTGAGGACCCATCAGTCCAATCAGCCTCTATTTGGTAGCATTTGAAAGTCCTGGAGTTTCCTCTTTAAAACTATACCAAGAGTTAGCCATTTACCCACCCAACAATCGAGCAAATAGTGGTTACTGTCGAGTGTTCACGCCTTTTCGCATCGTGACGCAAGACATGAATGAGAACGCTCAGTGTTCCACCACCGGCTTTCAACAAAGCCAAAATCGGGCTAGGAGATTGAGCGGTTTCATCGATCAGTACCTTAACTTTAACCTTAACTTTAACTTTACTTTAAAACCTGACCAAAGATTGAATTGAAGACGAATTCAGAGCAGAGTTTGAGTGTTTTGAAGCTGGGAACTATTAAGGCTCAGTGAATGGCTGCGGGAGAATGCTCGTAACCTTGTCGATTTATTAAGCCTAACTCAGTTCTCAATATCTCAAATCAAATAATCCATTTTTGCTTGTACATTCTGAGTTGCTTGCTCTAGGAAAAAGATTATTAGACAAAGGTAACCAGCCGAAACCGAGAGAAACCAGCCGCTTCGATGTCGGATGTCTTGTAACCCTTCCAGGAATCACTGATGATGTGGGTTCAAGGTTCGATCTTGTCACAGATTTTCTCCAACAGAGTCGATGCCGAACGATTGGGAAATTTCACCAGACAACACTCGCTAGTCTCGCTGCAGAGACCGCCAAAAATTCTGACTTCTGGCAAAACAATTTTACAGTTGTGTTTCCGTTTTGAGAAAATCGATTCGTCAATCTCTACTATATTGTCTTGTCCTACAATTGGTTTCTTCCCTTGTCGCATCAAATGCTCCATGCACATCTCACGGATATGGTTGCTGAAATCGGTGATCGTGTCCATATCCATTTCCAGCTCTCGGTCACACAAAACATCCGAAGAGAGTTCTTGCATCCACAAGTAGATAAAGCGAAGTGAAGTGAGAAACGGAAGACGGCTAGCCTCAAACCATGAAGCAACCAACTACGACGACAGACGATCTTCATACATCAAAAACGAGGAGCCTTGCCTTTGCTCAGTGAGATCTGATGACCGTACAAATCCGGGTTTTTGCGAGGACTCCTTTGTTTTGGGAGAATGAAATCGCCGATTCTTCGATTTAAAGTATATTTATTCGATGCGAATAATGAATTACAACACAAAGGAGGAAATTTTTATCCCTAATTACCCCTATTACCCAAATGTTGTTAAGAAAAAACCCATAATAATGGGAAAAAGTACCAATCTTTTCTTTATAGCCGCCGGAAGCGAATCCCTTAACCCCCGACTAGGAGACAAGACTCCTATCCGGTCGGCTACGATTGTTGGAAAAGCGAAGATTATAAACGAGCCAAAAAAAAATTCTAGAAATAAAATAGTAATAAAATAGTAATAAAATAGGGGAGTGGGACAAATGCGACCTTTTTTTTGCGCACCCGGACATTTGCGCACCTTTTTTTCCGCACTTAGCCCATTAGCGCACCTTTTTTCGCGTTTTAAAGAAGCTCTAAAAGCTAATATTAACCAATTTCTATTCCAAAAGTTGTTTTTCTAGGTAATTTGAGGGTGTCGAATTCAAATTTTGACATAACAGAGCTTGTGGAAGCGAACGGACGGAGTTATACAAAGAGAAAAATCAACAATTTCCTGTAATTTGACCTAGTACGGTTCCAATACGGTTCCAATACGGTTCTTTTTAGATCCAATACTGTTCCAATACGGTTTCAATACGGTTCCAATAAGGTTCCAATACGGTTCCAATACGGTTTCAATAAGGTTTCAATAAGGTTCCAATACGCTTCCAATACGATTCCAATACGGTTCCAATAAGGTTCCAATACGGTTCCAATACGCTTCCAATACCATTCCAATACGCTTCCAATACGATTCCAATATGGTTCCAATACGGTTCCAATACGGTTCCAATACGGTTCCAATAAGGTTTCAATAAGGTTCCAATACGCTTCCAATACGCTTCCAATGCGATTCCAATACGGTTCCAATACGGTTCCAATAAGGTTCGAATACGGTTCCAATAAGGTTCCAATAAGGCTCCAATAAGGTGCTTTTTAGATCTAATACGGTTCCAATTCGGTTCCAATACAGTTCTTTAGATCCAATACTGTTCCAATACGGTTCTTTTTAGATCCAATACTGTTCTGTTTTGTCTTTCAAATTGGTTCCACACGCTCTGTTATGTCAAAATTTGAATTCGACACCCTCAAATTACCTAGAAAAACAACTTTTGGAATAGAAATTGGTTAATATTAGCTTTTAGAGCTTCTTTAAAACGCGAAAAAAGGTGCGCTAATGGGCTAAGTGCGGAGAAAAAGGTGCGCAAATGTCCGGGTGCGCAAAAAAAAGTTCGCATTTGTCCCACTCCCATAAAATAGTAATAAAATAAATAAGAGCACCTTGTCATGCTAACATTTTTCTTTATTTATGCTAATATTATAAAAGGCAAATTTTGGAATGCAAATTTTTGCGGGAATCTAACCGGATTGATGCCACTATTTTTTTTTGCGGGGATATAACCGGAAAGTACCGGAAAAACCTTCACACTTTTCAAGGCCACGTCTGCTGTGACCTTGAAAAACGACATTCACCAAACCCCACCGCCCTTTAATTGTAATTAAAGTTCATTTTCATAAGTATAGCTTTGATTCTGTATTGAGACGAGTTTCGGAATGCAATTTAGCCTCTCACTGTTGACGATTTGCAAAAGAGACTTTGCATTGACAGAACGGAATGTCGACTTTTGCCGAAATTTTTCTCAGCTTCTCTTGGACATTATTTGGTTGGTTTAAGTGAAATAGCGTGCTTTTCTTGAGTAAACAGTGTGCTTTAGCAATTGAGTAGAATAAGCTAGAATAGCTGTATTTCTAGAATAGCTCTGTTTCTAGAATAGCTGTATTTCTAGAATAGCTGTATTTCTAGAATAGCTGTATTTCTCTTTTAGCAAACATATTCAGTCAATTTCTATCTCCCATCACTCAAGAATAGAGGGAGTTCCTCGCGAGTAATGCCTTTTTTTTAAAGCGCACAATTGAAAAAACATTACCGTACTTTTAGCAAATATTTTAGCAAAAAAATGGGGGTGGGACAAATGCACCTTTTTTTTCGCTGAAAAAGGCCTTAGGAAAGGTCGTAGAGCTTCAAAAATATTTCCATATAAGGGAATCGTATGCGTAGATTCCGAATTTCGACAAATCAGACCTCGCTGACACGTCAAATTTAAGCTAAAAGGCAAAAACTACGCAACTTAACGCTTTTCCGCAGTTTTTGCCTTTTAGCCCAAATTTGACGTGTCAGCGAGGTGTGATTTGTCGAAATTCTGAATCTACGCATACGATTCCCATCTATGAAAACATTTTTGAAGCTCTACGACCTTGCCTAAGGCCTTTTCCAGCAAAAAAAAGGTGCGCAAATGTCCAGGTGCGCAAAAAAAGGTCGCATTTGTCCCACCCCCAAAAAAATGGCGCAAAAATCACGAGCACTCACTTATATACGACACTTTTTAAAGATACTCAGCCGTTTAAATGATTTGGTGGGAAATTCCCTTCCAATGTAAAGATATTGAATTTATTCGTCATGTAAAGAGGATCTACTCGTAGCTACTCGACGAAAAAAGACGTCGATTACCATATTTTCTCTAATAGTAGTGCATCCTGAGCGTCGCCTAATTTCCTCGAAATCTCGAGAATCGCTTATCAGAACCTATCGATGTGGGATTGGAAAATGGAGCTGACGATGAGATCTAGTGGGGGATTTGAGTGTTGAGCTTCTGCAAAAGCTTGGAAACCGTAAAATAGGCATCAACTCGGCTCGCCGAAGTGCACTACTATTAGAGAAAATACGTTAATCGAGTAAAGTAAAGTAAAGCAAAGATTACTCATGCAAATTTGACTCGAGTAATCACTTACTCGCAAGGATTACTCGAGTCAAATACTCAAGAAGAGCACAGTTGTTTTTTTCTTTGACAAGACTTTTTTGTCTATTCAATCCCTTCCCAGACTGCCCCCACTTACAATTTGTCGATGTGCATCATTTTCAAGAATTTCTCCACAGTTCTCCGTGTTATCATGTGCTATTTTTACGACGCGGAAAGTTTTCGTCAAAACGACAACGGGACAGTGGAGATAAATTGGGAAAAACGGTGAGAACGAAGAAATTTTATTGAAAATGTTTGACAAAATTTTGCTTATGCGTTCAGGAACGTTCAGAAACGTTCAGAAACGTTCAGGAACGTTCAGAAACGTTCAGAAACGTTCAGGAACGTTCAGAAACATTCAGAAACATTCAGAAACGATTGTCGTGGAAAGAACGAGTTCTTTGGGGACCTCGGCGAGAAAGCGATGCGCTTTTCATGGAATGCCCGTCACGAGAAGCTCCATCGATTTTCCGCCACTCGACACCCAATCGAGCGCTTTCTCTCCGGCTTTTTGGACAAATGCATTTAGTAAACACTTTTTTTTACAATTTATGAAAACTAGAAACACCGTATTTTCTCTAATAGTAGTGCACCCCGAGCTTCGCCTAAATTGCTCGAAATCTCGAGAACCGCTTATCAGAACCTATCGATGTGGGGTCAGAAAATGTAGCTGACGATGAGATCTAGCGGGAGATTAGAGTGTTGAGCTTCTGCAAAAGCTTGGGAACAGTAAAATAGGCATCAACTCAGGGTGCACTACTATTAGGGAAAATACGGTAACCTAAAAAGTCTGAGCGGATTCATCGGGTTTGCAAAAGTCAACTTAAAATGTCTTAAGAACTTAAGATAAATTGAAGATTTTTGCTTGTTATCGCTTTATCTACAGGATGCGTCATAATTATTGCAACAAGAGTTCAAAGACCGTTTTCCAAACAGCTTTCTTATTTTTTGCCCCCTTTCTTGTTGTTTTGCGTTCTATCTTCTTTATTCTTCCTAATTGCCTCCCGCTCACACGAAGAAGACGTTTCAGGACTGGTGTGTGGCCAACTTTCCCTCAGTGATCACCAAGGATGAATGGCCTCCAAACTCATCGGATCTCAATGTGATGGACTTTTCCATTTGGGCAATCTTAGAGGCTAATGTCTGCTCTCGAAAACACACAAGTTTGGATTGTTTGAAGAAGTCTTTGACCTTGAAGAAGTCTTTGACCAAAGGATGGAAGGATCCTCAAGATTCGGGCTCAAGATGACATTTGGGCCGCAGTGGAGGCATATCCGAACCGATTAAGGGCTGTTATCAAGGTAAAAGGCGCTCATATCGAATGATCTCTTGTTTCCTTATTTGTTACTGTTAAATAAAGCTCTTTCTGTTTAAAAATCTTCTTCCAGTCAAACTTCTTGGTGTGCAATGCCTTCAGTATCTTGTTGCAATAATTATGACGCACCCTGTATTTAACAATTAAAAGCAAAAATAAGATAAATCCAATAAAAAAATCAATGATTTTCTCCAAACAGATAAACCTGAAGAACCCGATGCATTTTCTGAAGAACCCGATGCATCTAAAACTCGTAAATATTTCAGTGATTTGGTGCGTCGACCAGAGGAAAATGAGAACCGAGAGAGGCCGTGTAACGGATGTGATCGGAATATCACCTGTTTTGCTGAATATCTTTATGGAGAACTTTTGATAAAGATAGGAGGAGGGAAATCGAGACTGGTCTTATTGGAGTACGCACATTTTGCTCCACAAACTTGGTGAGTTGGACTTAGACAGTTGTTTAAAACATTAAAGTTTAAAGTTTTTTTAACTGACAAGGGATGGTCAACAGACTCAGCTCACCAAATCAAAGCTATAGATCATCCGATGCAGAGTTTTGCGCTGATTCCGTGCGCTGAACTTCAGAGAAACTTTCCGTGCTAAAGCTCTTTCGATATTTTGTTGAAATCCTCGCCGCTCCACTGAAGACTTTTTCCAATTTGGCTGAATTTGCTGGTGTCGACAAATACTGTTCGTCGTCTTACGCAATATTGGGAAACGTAGCCGATATTCTTCGGAATTCCATTTGGCAAGAAATCGATCGGAAAGCTATCAGAGAAGAAATTTCGCCCTTTCTAAATCTAGAATTAGCTTTCTAAATCTAAAATTAGCTAGAAGATAAAAAAAAATACCGCTTCCACGCCAAGTTTTTGATCAACAAACGATTTTGGTGTTGAGTGTAGCTTCATATTCTTCAATCATCGAGTTTTGGCTTCGTGTGCTGTGTGGTTTGTCCTCATTGCCATCAATAATTGTCATCAGGCATCAAGGAGATCATCAAGGCGAGAGAAATGTCGGGCGGCTTTTAAAAGCGGTTTGATACCGATCTGAGGAGTCAAATGTAGCTTATCCGTCATCCACCAAAAGGCATCTACCGCATCGAGATCTGCAACACGTTATTTTGTACGAATTTCTACAAGGACACAAGGGCCTCTAGTGTTCAGTTACTAGTGAGAATGTTTAGGTGGAAGGATTAGCTTCACTACGGACATGTGAAAACTGGTTTGTTCAATTCCGTTCTGACGATGAATCTTCGAAAACAAAGAGAGAATTTCAACTTTGTCCATAAGATAAAGGCTTTGTCTATAACATAAACAAATAGCGATTTTACTTTTTAGGCTTAAAACACAAATATTTTACCATTATCACCATCAATAATTGTATCAAGGAGATCATCAAGGCGAGTGAAATGTCGGGCGGCTTTTAAAAGCGGTTTGATACCGATCTGAGGAGTCAAACGTAGCTTATCCGTCATCCACCAAAAGGCGGATAAAATGGACAAAGGATAAACGGCTAAAAGGCTAAAGCTAAAAGGATAAAAGTCCCATCCTTGGTTAGAGTAGCTAGAGCTAGAGTACGAAGTAGCTACTCGATGGTTCGAATCCGCTCACATTTTTCTTTTTGGAAAACTTCACTTCGGGAGCCCTTCCCTCACTCAAATAGTGACAAGATTTCCATATTTCAAATCAGCAGAAGGAAGATGGAAGATGGAAGATGAAAGCTTTATTGTCATCACTAACCATCCTTGTCGTCCCCTTGGTTGTCCCCATGAGTTTCGTCCAATCCAGAATAGAACGCCCGAGTCATGATCGACACCCCATCCGTGAATTGAAATAATATGGTCGATATCCTCGTCAGTCACCTCCTAGAATTAAAAATCTAGACAATTGAGTGCCAGAGATTTGAGCACAAATTACAATATTCTTATTTCTAATAATCCTTCAGCTATTTCCCGAACCTTGTAGATTCCACCAGCGTAATCCTCAAATTTCTTTGTTGCGGCGATTCGACAAGCGATCGGTCCATGCTTCCAAATCTCAGCTTTCATCGATTTCAATCCTTTCACCGCTCCGTACTCCTTTGCCTAAAACTTGTTGCAAATGGATTACTATAGAAAATACGACAAAATAGCGCTAGAATAGAATGTTCAGCTTACATCTCTATTTAACACTAATGCCAATAAACGTCGTTTGCCAAATTGCGCACGATTCAGAATCATTTTGCAAAAACAAATCAGCTATTCTGAATCAGCGCAACATTCGAAGTTGGATGGTCTATGGTTCATTTCATTTGGTGAGCTAGGTCTATTCCCTTGTGAGGACCTAACTCACAAGGGAATAGACCTAGCTCACCAAATGAAATGAGCCATAGACCATCCAACGCAGAGTCAATAATTTTCAAGTTTATAGGTGGTGTAATTTCGAAGAAAGCCTTTCTCAATACAAGCTTTTTGACTATTCCCCATCGAGAGCCAAGGATTTCCTGGATGAGCTTTTTGCGGAGTTCGCAATTCTTGGAGTTCCCACAGAAGATCACGAAGACATCAAGAAAAGAGTAATTGTTATTGTTAACGAATTTTGGGTCTAAATGGGACTAAAATATCATTTTTTACGTATTGGAATTGTTTCAGGTCCTCTCACAGAACACAAAGCACACAACGTTCGACTCACCCGAGAGGAAAGCCTATCTACAGCAGATCGATAATGATCTCCCGTTAAAAAGATTATTGATTTTGTTGTATTATCATGATTTTCTCACTTTTAAATATGAAATGCCACAAATATAAAATGAAAAACGTAAGCAAGAGTGCAAAAACTGCAAATCTCAATTGCAATTGTAAGTATTGGGTTAGTGAATTGAAAACTGCCGGCTATTGTCCATATGTGACAGTTTGAGCACTTTCTTCAAAAGAAACCCATTTTGGTGTCAATGGAAAAGTTGTAGAGAATCAAAAATCAAGCTTATATCCAAATTTTCAGAACGATTCAAAAACTGGTTTTCAAGAAATGCGAAATTTACGAATTTTCACAAATGAAATGACGGAGGGGGAGGGGAGGGGGGAGGGTTACGGTATCTGTCTGTCTTTCTGTCTGTCTTTCTGTCTGCCTTACTGTACGGGCATTTTTCCAGCCGTATTTTGACCAATATTTCATTTTTCATTTTGGTTTTCAAGAAATGCCAAGTTTACGAATTTTCACAAAACTTGCATTTTAAGCGAAACTACTAAGTGAATCTTTTTGAAAATTTGGCTATAAGCCTAATTTTTGATTCTCTACAACTTTTCTATTGACACCAAAATGGGTTTCTTTTGAAGAAAGTGCTCAAACTGGGACATTCCTTCATTTTTGAGGCGCCAGTCCTCCATTTTTGAGTCTCCCACTTGTCTCACACACAAGCCAAAATCCTACTACGAAAGAGGAATCCACAAATTGCCTGTAAAATGGGCAGAAGTCGTCAATAATAATGGAAATTATTTGGAATGAATTGATGGTTTTATGTTGAATAAATTTTAGTTCAAAGTCCGGCAGTTTTCAATTCACCAACCCAATACGAGTGCAAATCTCATATGCAATTCGAAAAGAATCAAATGTTACACTATTGAAGTGAAAATAACGCTAATTTTACAACAAAGCTTTTAAAGGGCACAAAAAAATGTTTTTAACTTTTTGAAAACTTACGAAAGAAATTTTTGTTAATTTTCGTTAATCAGTTTGCTGTTCATTTTTTTTTGATTTTCGACTTTGACCTTTCAAACTACTATTAGATTGAGGGAAAAGCGTTTTTGAAGCTTTTCATCATTTTTGGTTTCATCACTTTCATCATTTTATTAGATTACCGTATTTTCTCTAATAATAGTGCACCCGGGCGAGCCGAGTTGATGCCTATTTTACGGTTTCCAAGCTTTTGCAAAAGGCCAGCACTGTAATCCCCCACTAGATCCCATCGTCAGCTCCATTTTCCGACCCCACATCGATAGGTTCTCGGTTCTCGAGATTTCGAGCAATTTAGGCGACGCTCAGGGTGCAATACTATTAGAGAAAATACGGTAATTATGGTATAGATCTGTTTTAGGCATTCCGGATTCCCCATCTCCCATCCGAATCGATCAATCTGCGAATCGGAATGCATCCTCTGTTCATTTTGACAACTCGCCTTCTCACCACTTAAAATTTCTCAAAACAAGCGCTTTTTAAAAAGCTTGAGAAGGATT